TAGCACAGCTGGTTATAATGATTGCAGTTCAGCAAAAGCCTGTTAATCAACTATCAATTAAAATCAGCTGTGCTGGAGCAGAGACAGCGGCCCTCGAGGACCGAGTTTAAATCGGTCTAAGGACTGGGCAAGCGAGCTGTTCCCACTGCCACTAAAAGCCCATTGCTCCCTGGTTTAAACTGTTTTTTCTGCCATTAAGAAAGGGGTTTCATATAAAAGGCGTAATGCTTATATTGTGCTCTAAATAGGGAATCGGGCGGACATTCAGGCACAGCCAGAGAGAGCACTTCCTGGTCGTTTGTTATTGATTTAAAACACCAGTAGATGGGGGTAAATCCCTCCCACGGGGAATTTAAACACTGACTCAGATACGTGTTGGCTGCCTGCTTTGATAGGTTTTCCAGGTAATCCCATGAGGTGAAGGGAATATTCCAGGACAACCGTGAGGGACTATGTCTCTCAGCCGGCCTTGGAACCCTTCTGTGGTTTCTGGGGAGAGGGAAATCAGGGCGTCTCTGATAAGACCCGATTCCAGAGAAGTGGAAGATGAAGAGTATGAGGCTATAGGATGAAAATGCATGATAACTAATGGCAATGACAAACAGATAAGAAACGCCTAGCTAAAGCGAAATAGAGCAAAAACCTGATCTTTACCACATCTTTGATTAGGGAAGTATACCTTCCACATGCTGGCTTCTTTTCCATACACCACAGCCATGTTGTTGACTTTGTTCTGCTGGATGCTCCTCTTCTCCGTCTCGTTTAGTTCCTCTGAAACAAAGCCCATGAAGGAATTGTCTGGTGTGTGGGCTGAAAGCGTGCAAGTGTGAAAGTAGCAGAGTGATGAGGAAGGAAGGTGAAAAGAAAGCAGAAAGACAGAGGAAGACAAGAGAGGAACATACTTTTATTCTAATTGAGAGGAAGAGAAGAATGCAAGGAAAATCAGTCCATCCTTTCGCTCTATAGTTCAGTGACTGGAAGTATAATAACTCACTGAGCTGCTTCCTGTTGGTTATTTCAAAGAATAATGCAGCGATTTTATATTATAAAATGTATGTTTTAAGCACTTCATGTGGTCTTCTCAGTGAGTTCAAGCAATTTGACATGATAAAAACCGACGGCAGAAATAATCCTCCGCTGCTGACTTCTTTTTGTAAGCCAACTGCTTATTATCCCTTTTTTGCAGAGTGCATTCTCAAGTATTGAAGATCTGTAATAAAAGCAGGCCTGCCACGCTCTCATAAGTATGAAGGTTGAGTCACTCATTATAGCTCTGACCAGTCTGGAATGTGGGAGTCTACAATATGCTGAGCATTGTCAATATAATGATCCTGCTGCTGAGACGCTGAGGGCTGAATGTAAAAGCAAGAGACAGTTAAGCAGTCAATGATTCGGCCAGGAAGTGAAGAGACAAAAGGAATCAGACCTTTTGTGCAGGTTATAGGAGGAAAAACAGGACAAGAGAAGCGGTAGAGGTAGAAGGAACACTGTGCTAAAAATAGAAATGAATGTGAACAACAGCCAAGACCTGTTAAAAGAAGTGAAAAGACTAGTTTAACATTTTCAGAAATTTTAAAAAGACAAAAAAGGTGTTTTAATGGCATGAAGGGCTGATTTATTATAGGGTGACTTTTTTTTTTAACAAGAACAGTCACATCTTAACAAACTGGCAGATTAGATGCCAGGTATCAAACGATAAGTAAAACACAGGATGATCTTACGGAACATGGTCATGTACTGCCGGGCGTTCAGGTTCCAGTAGCCCCAGTTGGTCCGATAGCCATGCAGGGTTGCGTACTCTTCATGGTTGTAAGCTGGCTCCGTCCCGAATGTGTCAATAACCCTGATGTGACATCTGTGAAGGTAGAGCAAAACACAGCAAAACATACATTAATTTTCAGTGCCAAGCCTCAATGCATTTCATTAGGAATCTATGTGATCGTAGGGAAAGTCATATTTTATCAAGGTTAATTGCAAATAGAGTGAAATGTAACATGCCGTTATTAAAGAAGGAGGAAGTTGGCAGAAAGCTATTAGAAAGAAAAAAGCAAAAACCATATGATTCTGATAAAAAAGCAGTTTTCATTTTATTGCTAAATGTGCAAATTATGCAGCCATCTTGAAATTTGGCAATTTCAAAGTGGCTGTGACTTTAGGCAGCGGCTTGATACAGCTCCAGACACATACACAAAATAAGTCGCTTTGAACGCTAGAAATTAGACATCGATCCTGCATCTGTGGGATGAGCGTTGGCCCATAGGCTGCATGTTGAAGTAAGGCTATGGCTGCTAATGCAGATAACTGACTAAATGCCAGCGGCTGCTGGACCTGGATTGTGCTGAGGCTGATTTTATTTTTATTTTTAGCAGAGGGCAAAATCTCCATGCATTAACTTAATGTGTTGTTTTATTGAAAAAGGAGTGAAAATTTGTCTTTATAGGACAAAGTACCGTTGAAAGTGCTTTGAGATTGTCAGTTGCAGTAGAAACCAATTATGTAAGAATAAAATCTATGTATTATTTGTTCACTTCTTTTAAAATTGAAATAAAACATAAAGAAGACAGCTCTGTCTTCCAGAGTGACTCTAAAAATGTTTTGAAATTTATTCGAACATGATACAAATATAAAAATACAATAGTGCACAGTAACAAGAAGTGCATAAAAAAGAAGAGAAAAAATACAGATATTTGTTTCAATTAATATATCATGCTCAAAATGGGGTAGGAAGAAGTGAAAACTTATTAACTCCTACCCCCTAAACACTTGAAAAACTTATAGTCCTACTGTTATTAAAAAATCAGAGCCAAGTGAAAGTTAAAGTGCCCGTCAGCAGTTACTAATATTTACCTAAACATTTCCCTTTTCATGCTGGTTTGTCTTTTCAAACCCTTACAACAAGTTGTTATCTGCAATACACACATTTTTGCTTTCTCTCACTCATATGTCTATCTCTATTGAAAATGACCTCCTTATATTTTCTTTTGAATTGTATTAAACTATTGCTTTGTTTTAAATCTTCGTTTAAGTTGTTCCATAACTTTACATCTTTAATTGAAATACAGAAGCTTTTTCNGAACACTGGGACGCAACTCAATGGGAAAGGAAAGGATTCTGGTTTCAACCGTTGCGTATATTAGCTGCGACACATGAATCAAGATGCTATGACTGAAAACATTTAATTGACAGACGACCGTTGATATATGATTGGATGAATTTAGGTGTTCAGGCTGACGTAGAACTAACCGGCCTGCAGAAGATAACGGGAAAAAACACAGAATTTAAGACAGGATTTTTTTAAAAATAGAAATGTTCTAAATTTTGGGACAATCTGGTCTGATAAAGAGAACATTTATATACATGTTTAAGCCGGAATGATTTCACATTTAAATATAATTTCCCTATGACTTTAAATCCTGTTTAAAGTAATGGATTATATTTTCAAATGTCTCCTGGTTGTTGGTTTTCTTTATTCAGCCTCGCTGATTTTTAACTGGTTTCTCCTGCCTTAGAGAGTTTCACAGAGCTCTGTTTAATTGTTAGCTTTCCAAGACTGAGGATATCTGTTCTTCCAACAAGTTTATGGTGATATTAAGCCTTTTTCCTGCACATAAGGGAACTATTTACAATAATACCTCCACTAAACCTCCCATCAGACCAAGCCGTACCTTTAAGTTTCAATGATTTGTTAAATAGGGTTACTCTAACATAGCAGAAGGAATATTACATGAGAAGTTTGTCTAGATAGACAGTATAATCATATACCTCAGGAACTTTAAAGACTGTTAGACCCTCAACAGTAAATGTGTGGAAGAACAAAAGACTTTAAAAACACAAAAAATCCCATCTTGGTAGAGACAGTCAGGATCATGACTTCTCTCTAACAACTACAGCAGAAAAGTGAACAAAGCAAGCAATTAGGCGCTGACTTCTGTGGTTCGTCTGCTGGAAATGTGGGGGTTTGTGTCTTTTGTGTGAGCGAAGGACAAATCGTTACAAGATAAGGCAGCCAAATAGGAAACACACTGGGAAAATACCTCCCAATTCCACCAGTAATGCATTTCTCTAGCTCATAATTGGATTTTAAAAATACATGGAGTGGAACTTTAAAAGTGGTTCCAGAGGCTTTCTACTCTTCAGTTCCCTAAAATCTCTATTCTCTAGCCTCCTGTTTGTTTTATATATTTCTATATTTTATACAGCCTCATAGACAAATAAAATACTATTGCAGCCCATTGTTTAAACTTTCCAAGCTGCAGTTATAAACAAGAAAACCATTTAAAAAGTCATATTTCAGAGGTTTGTTGAAGGAAACTGGGATCCAGAATGAGAAAATATTTGGTTGTGAGGCAACAGCATGAAACAGGCCTGAGGCGGAAATGCCTTCATGTTGCTTCACTCTCAGGGATGTGCAGCTGATTATTTTCCTTCAGTTTATTCTGGCAGTTTAAATTATTATTTTTTTTTAGGTGTTAATTCTTTTTTCTTGCCTCTTCGTCATGCCTGTCATGGCCTGGATTCCAGGATGTTGAAACCCTGTGTCAATGCCAAAAGCCATTAAGGACACTTTTTTTCTGGCAGCAATCCCTCACAGACACAGGAAGTTTCCCTCCCCATTTAACAAATATTCTATCATCTTCCGAATCAAAGGTAAAATGAAGTAAAGAGCATGTTGGGGTTTCAATTCCCTCTATGCCCTAATCCTGTTTTGACCCCAAGAGGGACTTTAGCATGTGTTTCGACTCCTAAGTGGGCACTTTAAAATGCGTTTTGTCACCCAGGGGTGCAGTTTAGCACATGCTTCGGCCCCAAGAGGGCAGTTTCGTTTGCTTTTTGGCTCGTAGGAGGGAACTTTAGAGTAGTTTATCACACGTTTTAGCTCCCAATGGCACAGTTTAGCATGCGTTTTGGCTCCAGAGACGGCACTGTGCCATATGGTTTTCACCAAATGGGTCCAAAGAGGGGAGTTTAGGTGGCTCGGGCATCTGGTTAGGATGCCTCCTGGACGCCTCCTTGGGGAGGTGTTTGGGGCACGGGGAGACACCTGTTCAGCGGAAGAGGATCGCTTGGTGGATGGATGAATGGGTCACAAGAGGGAGCGAGCCCTGTGCCCCCCAATGCAAGTGCATACAGATCACTAACCTTGATCTAAACTCAAATCACATCTCAGTCCTAAGCCTAACAATGAGCAAAAAATAAAGTGAGGACCAGCAACATGTCTTTACTTTGGTGCAAGGGGTCCTCANTCACATTGCCAGTGCCAAGCAAAAAATGCTCCTGCATAAGTGGACATGTTGCTTGTTAGGTTTATTCAATGATGATTATAAAATGAATGTGTGCTTATAAAACATTTGTGCGAGGGGATGCTCCACTCCTGTCTCATGATTCAGTCAGGAGACCATCCTGCCTCGTCATTCTGATGGAGCATTCTGTCTTCATGAACTGATCTGTTGTTCTGTCAGAACAATACTCTGTTTGTAACCATGCGTCATGTTCTGTTAATAAAAGACGGCTGCAGGAGGGGATTCGGAGAAGGAAAGCTTGAAGTTGGGTTGGGCTTTTCCTTCCGCTCCTGCAGAAGCTCCTTGAATCTCTTTCCTGTGTAGACTCAATTTCTATTTATTTGCAAACCTACATTTTCTGAATCCAACATTGCTGCAAACCTAGTAGGATTATTAAGACAACTGATTCCAGGCACCCAAGTGGCAGGAGTCATCGTGTTAAAGTTTTGCTCGTATTGCTTGCTGTCACTATCTAGATCTCGGGAGAGCAGAGCGGATTTATTTTATCTGATTCTCAACAGCTTCTGACTCTGTACTGTTTCTGCTTGTTTCCACTTCGTTCTCCCATCATCCTGTCTGCTCAAAGCCTGCTTCCACTCTGTTCAGTCATCTGTCTTCTCAGGCGTGTAAACGTTGGGTCCTGCTTGTTCTGCCTTTATCTGCCTCCTTAAGCCGGCTAATTGTCTGCTTCATTCGTCACCACTCTGTTCAAGCTTCCTAACTATCTGCCTGCTTGATATTCGTTCCAAACTGTTTGCAATAAACTTTTTAAATGCTCTCCACATACCTTTTATCAAAGATTTTATATAATTTTCTGCTACCAATGATTAGCTTAGCCGTCGGGACATACAGAGAGAAATGATCAATGGCGGCTGGTGAAGTTTTCACCAGAGGGGGCTATAATTTAAAATAGAGGTATACCAAAAACCAATCAAACGCACACTTAGATATATAAGTTATCACACCAGTATATTTATATGAATGCCAACAACAAATAACATGATAAAAACAAAACATAATTTAATGTCCAGGTTTACGTTTTGTCCATAAATCTTTCCCTTCTGAGGCTGTGAAGGTTAATCTGTGTTTTGCATGCTCCAATATTGGGTCACAAACCAAAAAAATAATGAACCGGTTTAATAATGGAGAAACTATTAGTCAGCTTTATATTCTTTAATATCTAAAAACTATTTATTTTCTGAGAATATGTTTATTTAAGAGCAACTATGAAAATAAACAAACAACTAGAAAAAGTCGACTATATTCTATTATATTCCATGTGAATCCCAAACTTTCTTTTTTTATTCTTCTTTGCCTTTTCTGGAAAGTGCTTTAAATCAGTCCTAGCTGTCTTTATCCATGCTGGATCAGATCCTGATGTTTGAACAAGGAGGCAGGGAAAGCAGGATAAAGCCTTAGCCTCGCTGTATGCAGTTAGCCTCGCTGCATGCAGTTAGCCGCATTGCATGCAGTTAGCCTCGCTGTATGCAGTGAGCCTCGCTGCTGCAGTTAGCCTCGCTGCACGCAGTTAGCCTCGCTGTACGCAGTTAGCCTCGCTGTATGCAGTTAGCCTCGCTGCATGCAGTTAGCCGCACTGCATGCAGTTAGCCTCGCTGCATGCAGTTAGCCGCACTGCATGCAGTTAGCCTCGCTGCNCTGCATGCAGTTAGCCTCGCTGCATGCAGTTAGCCTCGCTGCATGCAGTTAGCCTCGCTGCACGCAGTTAGCCTCGCTGCACGCAGTTAGCCTCGCTGTATGCAGTTAGCTTCGCTGCACGCAGTTAGCCGCACTGCATGCAGTTAGCCTCGCTGCAGACAGTTAGCCTAGCCTTGGAGCTAAACCAGGTCCTGGAAAAAGACGTTTCTGCACCATTTCTCTCTCGTTTGTATTGCAGAGGAGCTGCTGCACATGGAAAACTTTTGACGAGAGTCAATGTGCAAAGATTTTTGCCCCCTATGTTGGACATACGTCACCGATCTGACGAAAAATTAAACAACGCTTAATATTAAATATTTTTCATGCACATTAAAAAAATAAATATCAATATATTTTGAAATATTTCAAATTTTAATTTAAAATAAAATAATAAATATATATATATAATCAGGCTCATTGGCAGGGTGGGGCAGACAAGGTAAAGTTGGACTTCTTAGATTTCAAACAGTTATTACCAGATAACTCATTAATTTCAACAACATCAATTAATTATTGTGTTATTATCTAGTAAAATGCAGTTCATTATTTGACATATAACAGAAAATCAAACATAGAAGACAAGACAATCTTCTTAACTAAAGTCTTATTTATGTGTAGCTTGACTTCAGTTTTATAAAGCTTTAGTTACTTGATCATTAGTTAAAATTTACTTTGTAAGCCGTTGGTACAGTAAGTGGTGGCGAATAATAGAAACTGTTATGTGCTAACCTAATGCTAATTACCCATAAAAAGTC